AGAACAGTGTAAACATCCACCAATCAAAAGGAGTAAAGATTGTTTTCTCTTCATGTCCCCATGTTCCAGAAGGTATTTATTTTTCCTTTTAGTGCATTATTGTGATGATTTATGGCAAATGGGCATGACAACAGATGAGATTGGATTTTCCCCTCAGTATCACGAGCACTTCTTTCTTCTGCTGCTTTGCTTCCCAGATGGTCACAATGGTCAGGGTTGATTCAGGCTGATGTCAGGATGCAGTAACTTCAGATGGGTTTCCTGTGTGGAGGGCAGGGATCCAGTGGTTGAGCTACCTTCTGCTGCTTTTCCTAGGCTAATAACAGGGTGTTGCATCAGCAGTGGAACAACTAGGATATCATCCGGTGGCCACATGTTGTACTAGCAGGGTAGGTTTATGGCTTTACCTGCCGTGCTACAATACCAGCCTCAAATATATATATATATATATAAGGACATTAATAATATGTCTTGGATAAGGTATAGTCTTTTAAATAATTGGTACTAACATAACTGGATGTATATATGTAGAAGAAGTCTTGTTTGTAGACTTGTCCAGACCAGATTGTAGCCCTTAATCTAGCTACTATATACAAAACTCCAATCTAGATGGATCAATTATCTTCATGAAAGTCATGGAGTTATACAATTCTACAAGAAAGCATAGGGAACACTTCAAGATGTTGGCACAGGCCATGATTTCTTGGATAAGACCTCAGAAGCAATGAAAATAAAAGTATACAAATGCGATGATGTCCAACTGCACAAGAAACATAACAAAACAAAAAGTTATGAAAAGAAGGGAGTCTTGGGTGGGGCTTGGGATATAGTGATGTACTGTGCAAAGAGGCTACTTGTGGCTCCTGAGTCACGTATGGACAGCTGTTTCAATTCAGACTTCTTCTTATTGCCTGGGAAAGCAATAGAAGATGCCCACGACCTTTGAGGCCCTGGGCAGACACAGGGGATCAAGAAAAAGCTTCTGGGTTTGAATTGACCCAGCTCCAGCCCCCCTTGTGGTCATTTGGGCAGTGAATTAACTGATGGGTGACCTCTTTTTCTTTCTCTCCTCTTTATAATCTGCCTCTCAAATAAAAGCTTTTTTTTTTAAACATAAATGAATTCTATCATTTGCAGAGAAGTGGACGGAAGTGAAGGACTCCTGTTAAGATAAACTGGAGACAAAGTCATATACTAGATGTTTTTCCTCATTTATGGGAGCTAAGAAAAAACAAAACAAAACACAAAACATACAGAATGCTGATTTCTGGAGGCTGGAATAGGTGAAAGTGGTGGAAGGAATTTGCATTAAAAAACAAAACAACTCCCACCTCCACCCCCTGCCTGCTCCCCTTACACACACAGCGGAGCAGGAGGGCGGTTAGGTATGTTAACTGTGACATACATACTAATAAGAAACGCTAATCAGGGCCTGGCGCGGTGGCGCAAGTGGTTAAGGTTCTCGCCTTGCAAACCCGGGATCCCATATGGGCGCCGGTTCTATCCCAGCAGCCCCGCTTCCCTTCCAGCTCCCTGCCTGTGGCCTGGGAAAGCAGTGGAGGACGGCCCAAAGCTTTGGGACCCTGCACCTGCGTGGGAGACCTGGAAGAGGCTCCTGGCTTCGAACTGGCATAGCATTGATCGTTGCGCTCACTTGGGGAGTGAATCATCGGATGGAAGATCTTCCTCTCTGTCTCTCCTCTCTGTATATCTGCCTTTCCAATAAACAAAAATAATAAAAATAAATCTTTAAAAAAAAACGCTAATCATACTGCAAGAGGGCTAGGTATGCTTGTGAACTCTATATTATTACCTCACATTTTTTTTAAAATGTAAAGCTATTTGGGACTTTTAAAATAAGAAATTCAAAGGAAATAGAGGAATGTGGGTGACTGATCCATCTTCATCGGAGAGCAATTGTATTACTTCAAACAACATAAAATGTAAAAAAATAATTCTTTGGTTTTGCACATTCGTAATGAAATGATAGATTTATTCTGTCATGAATTTTCAGAACTCAGATACACTAAGCAGGTCTCAAGAGTGGTGCACATATTAGCTTAGTAATACTGGAAATTGCTTAAATTCCCAAGATAAAGCAAGACTATTTATTGTTATATTGGCAATAAAATAGTGCAGCATGGAGACTAAAAATGTAGTCAGTTGTGGTTGGCTCAAGTTATGGATAATTTCATTCTTTCAAGAAAAAAAAATGTGTTTATAAATATCTATATTATCTGCAAAAGAAGTCAATATTGTAAAATATTAAAAGGTGGTTCAATTTAAAAATGAAAATTTAAAAATGCTTCTAGGAATACAAAGGATAAGACAAATGTTAAATTATTTCTCAGGAACAATTATTGATAGAACAATAATTAACAATGAGATATCTTAACAAAAACTGAAAAAGGAATTGACACTTGAAATTAGATCCCATTTTAAAGACTATTGAAAAGGAAATTTTGCAGTTGAAGTTTTTTCATTCTTGTCTTTCAATTTTAACTGGTTGAACCATTTGCCATATCAGCCAATTATTCATTACTATACCAATATATCTGATACAGGTACGTTATGAAAGGCAAGATTTCGCTTGCTCATAGTTTTGGAAGGTTAAGTGTGACATCAGCTGGCCATGATATGGACAGGACACAACAGCAGAGCATGTGCAGAGCCAGCAAGCAAAGAGCTGGGCCCATCCCCGTCTTTATAATGACTACCTTGCAAGAACCTCTTCTTAAGGGAACCAAACAACCCAAGTCATTCCCATTAGACTCACCTCCTAATGCTTGTAGCTAGTTCCCAAATGGGATGCTGGTACTACAAGTGGTAGTTTAGTCCATTGGACCACACCGGTCTCACAGAGAGTAATATTTTGTCAAGAAGTAATTCTCTTGAATCATATTTTAAAAATACCAACATCAATTTTGTTCTGTCATGTTTTCCTAGAAAGCTTCCCTTTTATTCATCTCAATTTAATTCACCCTTTTATACTTACAAAGTTTTTATGTGTTACTAAGCTTTCTAATAGTTAATCACTCCCAATAATGCTTTCACAGGGAACTAAACTTTAGCATATGGGAGTCTGGGCAAAGTTTAACATTCAGACCAATACCTAAACCACAGTGCTTTTGAGTAGAACTTCCAAATGCACAAGCTATTGCTGGACTGAGGGAAAAAAGCATTCAAAGTAGATGTTTAAATAAAAATGTATTTTAAAATCAAATAAAATAACCCCCTGGAAACTAATCCATTCAAAGTATACTACAAATAATTTTTCCCTAAAGGAGATATGAAGTATGAAATGCAAATGTTACTGAGAGCAACATACTTCATCATTTAATTTCCTTTTTAATATTGCATCAAGGTTTCATAAATTATACAATTTTCTAGTAAGGACTTTAGTGAGGACTTTAGCTGCTAGGCCACTGTGCCGGGTCCTTTTTTCCCAGCTTTTAACTCTGATTTCAGGATAGCTACTCATGAGCATTTTTCTTTCAGGTTGCCTGGTATTTGTTTCTCGGCCTTTCAGTTTCAATTGGTATGTATCTCTGAAGTGAATTTCTTGTAATCATAGTACAGTATTTTTTAATCTACTTAGTCAAATTACATTTTTTTCCTAGAGAATATGGTCCAATTACTACTCAAGATTAGCATCAATTGATAAGAGCTAAAATTTGTCATTTTGTAAATTAGATAATGATTCTATCTGGTCTGTTAATGAACTTGGTGGGGTCATGTGTTTTCATCGTTACTTCTAATACAAGACATCCTTAAGAATTTCTTGTGGATCTAGCATGGTAGCCTGGTGGCTAACGTCCTCGTCTTGCCAGGATCCCGGATTGGCACTGGTTCTAACCCTGGCTGCCCTACTTCCCTTCCAGCTTCTCATCCAGCTTCCTGCTTGTGGCCTGCTAAAGCAGTAGAAGATGGCCCAAAGCTTTGGGACCCTGCACCCAGGCGAAGCTCCTGGCTTTGGGTTAGCTCAGCTACAGCTGTTGTGGTCACTTGAGGAGTGAATCAGCAGACAGAAGGTCTAACTCTGTTTCTCTTCCTCTCTGCATATCTGACTTTGCAATAAACATAAATCTTTAAAAAAAACACCAGAATTTCCTGTAAGTCTATTCTTGTGGTGATGAGTTGTCTTTTTTTTTTTTTTTAATCTGGAAAAATGCATTGTTTTTTCTTCAATTTTAAAAGGTGGCTTCACAGGATATGAAATTGTTAGCCGGAAGTTTTTTTTTTTTTTAAGATCCTGAATATTTTATTCCACTCTCCTTTTGTATGTAAGGTTTCACCTGATTGCTTTATCTGATTGTTCCATATAAAATTTTATGGAGACTTCAGTATTAAACTCTTGTATTATGAGCAGGAAAAAAGCATACACTAAATACAGCACTTAACAGTGCAATTCTCCTTAACACAGTGGTATTCAGAGAGAGCTACAAAAGCAATACATTTTTTTTTGAAGGGCAATGCTTGAAAATTCTGCCTCCTCCTTTTTGGTTTCTAATAAAAAGCAGAAACGGGGAGAAGATGAAAATATAAACAAAATAAATTTAAAGAAGTAGAACCAATCACTAAATTGCATCTTTAATTTCCTACATTTGGTGCACTCATTTTTCTGGATTGAGTCTAGCTCATCTTAATTATTAACACTGTAAAAATACTTCATTGGGAGACTGGTGCAGCGGCAAGCGTGCTAATCCTCTGCCTGTTAGCACTGATAGCACATTTTGGGACCCATTTGTATACTGGCTGTTGTACTTCCAAGCCAGCTCTCTGCTAATTGCCTAGGAAGGCATCAGAGGATGGATCAGGTCCTCAGGCCCCTGCACTTGCTTGGGAGACCACGAGGAAACATCTCTCAACTTTGGATCAGTTTAGCTATTGTGGTCATTTGGGGGAGTGCATAGAAAACCTGTCTCTCTTCTCTCTGTAAAATCTACCATTCAAATAAAACTAATTTTTTTTTAAAGTACTCCATCGGAACATCCAAGTGGTTGCTCAGATAAGTTCTTTATTACTCCTGTTTAAAACAAATGCCACGGGAAAAATGTCAATGCCAAGCTTTGTGCTCATTCTTTACACAAGTGGAAATCATGTAGTAGGAAAGACACAGATGTTCAGTCTTTTCTCTGTTATTGTGTTGTTTCTGGACACGTTTAAGTTTACATGTTGATTCATTGTTCTTGTGGTGTAGGTCTTGTGGTTATATAGCTCCCAACATCCTCAATTTGGTTCAACTCACTGCATTTAAAGAACAAAATTTCTACCAAAGTCCAGTGGGTCATCACAAACTAGAATGCTCTTGACAATCATTGTGTGACAGAGATTTCAGTGAAAATTGAGGAGGAAACAGATGTATCACCATTTGGAATCAAATTTGTAACTGACATAATTTTACCCTGACTTGTGTCAAACTAACAATGCAGCAGTTCTTCATGCAGTCCTGAAGAGTGCACATGAGCCATTCTAATAAATTTTGTCTTCACATAAGCAAGTAGCTTTGCATTTCTCCTTGAGTAACTCATGATCACAGCCAGCTGTGTTCTTCAAGGAGCCGCAGTTACTAAGGAGATCTTCATACTCACAGCTATTTGCTGTAACAACAACAAAAATGCTGAGTTAGCTTTTTTATGGTTAGTGTCCTTCGTAGAAGCAATGGGCTTGGGGGACAACATTTAAGTGAATAGCAAGGTTTTATGCAATAATGGAACTTTAACCACTTGAGAAAATCATGATGCATCTCTGTTGGGCTCAATGATTATGGTATTCTTTTATGTTGAATTCAGTCATATGTTTCTGAAATGAATTACCTACCTCTTCTCCCTCAACAAATTAAAACAAATGCAAGTGAATCTGCTTTCAGAATGTTCTCACCACATGTAGCTATTGAAATTAAACAAAAAATTTAATTTCTTAATTTCAGTAGCCATATTTCAAGTGTTCAGAGACCACACATGACTCATGGCTAGACTAAGACAGCTACAAAGAACCTTCATATCATCTCACATTATCAGACTACATTATTTTAAACTTCAGTGCTTTCTTCCTGGGACAAATGGTCTATGGACGGATACAGATGCAAACAGGAGCAACATGTCAGATTCCTCGCTGTGTTTCCATTTGGATACTCACGAAAGGCCCCCAAATCAACAAATCTAAACCCAAACTTAACATACTGCTCATACAGCTAACAATCTTGGATGAGGAAAACATCCTTGCAACCCTCTCACACACATTTCAGTGCACTGGTGCTCCAATTATTCAATAATCTAGTCCAGAAACAAAATCCAGCTGAGCTTTTCCCCTTTGCAATCAAAACATGTAACAAACTGACTATTGTTTTCTTTATTTTGCTGGTACTGCAGTGAAGACTTTGATGCGTTTCAAAGTTCACCTGTTTCATCAAGTTTCCTGCTGGATGAATTATCAAATGTTTCTGCATAAGTACAGCTACAAGCTCTTCGAAAATCATGATTCTGATTTTGGGACTCTGTTCAAAATCTTTCAGTTGTTAAAAGAATGAGTTCTTTTCCTTAGCTAATAGCATTCTGCAACTACACATATAGTTTAGAATATTCTTCTGGCTTAATAATGTTTGTGTCATCAGTATTCTAATTTATAGCAATATAACTGGATCAGAAAGAATGCTATGCAGTGGACAACATATATGAAAGGTTAAATATCTCACTGAATAGTTCAATTCTTTCATCAGTAATAAAAATATATTCCACTTACTGTAAATCAATAGTTAAATCTACTTCTATTCATGACAACTTAAAAAAAATTGATATATGATACTTGCTTTATTCTCTTCACTTGTAAGTATAAGCTTGTGAGTTCTGTGAACCTGTTTTATGTACAAAGTGCATTTGCTATTTGGAACATGCACAAAACTATGATCAGATTATAGGGCAAGAGACCACATACTAAGCATAAACAGTATGATCTTAATATTAGGAAGGAAGTGAGAAAATCAACTGAATACAGCCATTTCCACAAAGGAAGCATAAATATTTGGTGTGTCTCTCCAGCAACAATTTGGTCTCACAACTTTAGATAGGATATTTAGAATTTATTTAAATATCAGTTGTTGTATAAGGAGATTAATGAAAAAAAAAATCCCAATCATCATAAAGGTATATATTTAATAGTAACAGTTGTTATAATTGGAAAGGCACACTGATGGTAGACATTCAAGCTACAAAAAGCATACATATCGGCTCAGTGCAATAGCATAGTAGCTATATCCTCCCCTTGTACCTGCCAAGATCCTGTATGGACACCTGTTCCGGTTCATATTCTGGCAGCTCCAATTCCCACCCATTTTCCTGCTTATGGCCTGGGAAAATGGCAGAGGACAGCCCAAAGCCTTGGGACCCTGCACCCACGTGGGCGACCCAGAAGAAGCTCCTGGATCCTGCCTTTGTGGATCAGCTCAGATCTGGCCATTGTGGCCACTTGGGGAGTGAAACAGCAGTTGGAAGAAATTTCTCTTCATCTCTCCTTCTCTCTGTAAATCTGCCTTTCCAATAAAATTTTTTAAAAAATATGCAAATACAATGTAGGTCGGTCATCATAAGAAACAGAGAAAAGTGTGTCTCCATGCACACTTGGACTCAGCGAAATGGCTGATAATGTCCTGACAGGTGGATGTTGGACTCTCTGACATTGTCCATGCCTACATTGTTGGGAGCCACCTCGATGGCAGCATGATGGACTTGTGAAAGTTTATGAAAGACACCCATTGTAAAACACAGATCAGTTGGGGAGGGGTGGGAACTTGGGGAGGGAGAGGAGAGACCCCAGTGCCTAATAAATTGTGTCATAAAACAAAATAACAACAAAAAATGATTAGAACACTGCTGAACGTTTTTTCTTTTGGCATGAATACATTGAGGTTGGTTACTGCAGGGGATTTATTAATTGCTTAATATAATAACAAGTTAATTCTTTCACACTTACTACAAAGTCCATTGTCACAGTGACCAGGGCAGCTGGCACAAGGTATTCCTTGTTGGTAAGGAGTACTCTTTTTATTCACATTATTACCTCTGAAATTTGAAATTTACAATATTAAATATTTTTTACTTTGTTGTTGAATTTACACTGTATTGGCAACATCAGACACCAGATACACTTAAATATCCCCATGTTTGAGATCATGTAACAAAAAGAAAAATTATGATTTTCAAGTATAATTCAAAGAATAATTTAATAACATGCTTCTTGCATTGCCCCATCTCTTTTACCATAAATCCACAGGTCAAGCAACAAATATGAGATAATCAGATTCCAGAATTATTAGAGCATATTGAAAGGTACTTAAACCATCTTCATGCCCAAATTGATTCAATGAAATTGCTAAGTCAACGTACCAGCTAATGTAGTCTCTCTTTGATAGAAAGGAGATGGTTCTAGGGTAATGGGTTCCAGTAGGGAAAAGAATATTCATAATGGATGCAACAGAAATCATCATGCTTAGTGACATAAGCCAGGTCCCCCAAAGTCATTATCATACGTTTCCCTTAATTTGTGACAAGTAATAAGAAAGCACGAAAGATGTTAATATATTTGAGTGAAATTGGCATGAGATTTGATTATGGTCTGTAACCCATCTTTAGTCCTGATAAACAGTGGTTTCTCTATATAATACTTGCTGAATTCTTTAGTAGAAAATTAAACTTGTGACTAGAGTAACGTCAAAATTGAATATGGCATTGTCAAAATTGAACTTTAGGTTATACTTACGCTGGGCAATACTGGCAAACATAGTAATATTTAAAATTTTCTTGATTGGGACAGAAGGCAATTGCGCATCCAACACGGTAAGATGAATACCAGACAAGCTAAAAGGCCACAACATAATACATTTAAAACATTAAAGACAGAAAATGTTAAAAGACATATGCTGGCAAACACAAAACCGAAAAATGTTACCGCTCTATTTTATAGTCATTTACCTTAAAGAAAATACGTAATGGTCAATGTCATAAATTCTATCATCAAATTTTCATGGGTGTCAACCATTTACTTACTTATAATGTAGAGCAGAGTATAAGAGTATGCTGTCAAATAAAGCTTATTAGACCATAAACCAAAATGAGAGTTCTAGATGAAGTATCAAGGAGTCAACAGTGTGATACACCTACTTTGGGAGTTCCCCCAACTGAACATTGAGCTGACTGTAATTCAGGCATGCTTTCCACGCTGCAGTATTTATGGCAGGTACTTCGAAATGTTCCCCATACCTGAGTGTAATGTCCAGTAATCACATGGGGAGTCTTTGGTCCAACACCATAGGTAAAATAACGGCTTTCATCAAACCAGTTTTGAATTGCATCTGACCAGGCAGTAGGGTCACTTGACATATAAAGATTCTCACCACATTTTGTACCTAAGAAAGAACATATTGTTCATGAGGGAAATAAAAGAAAAAAAATCATCTGATGGTAAAAAAATTACCTCATAAATGCAAACACCCTCATTCAAACGGAGATAAGTTGCTAACTGTTAAGATGTAAGGAAAAAGCTTTTTTTCAAATCAGCTATAAAACTGATTACAAGGCAAAATTATCTCACACGCTGTAGCTAGCCTGACCAAGCATAACTTTATTGAGAAGTTCCCACTCCTTAAACATTGTTTTTTCTCTCAATGGTCAAACACATATACTCACATGTTGAAAGTCTCTCATCTGTATGGGCTTCATATCCTGGAGCTTGCACTATGAACTCCTGGAATCCAGCTACTGACTATTACACTAACTCTCTTGCTGGGTCACTCTTATCAAAGATTGTGATAAAATGTCTATATCCTTAGATAAAATTTGAAGGTAAGTTTTTATAAGCAGTCTTTAAAAGGTCCAATCAAAAGATAAGAGATGCCAAGAGGGTCAACAGCTTGTAGAACTTGTAAGTCATCCCCTATTCAAAAATTCAGAAGACCTCAAGCTAGAATCTGTTAGGCAAGATCTGCACAATACCCCAGAAACAATTTTCTATGTTTAAGTCCCCTCCATATAGATACATGTGTATTTACTTTGTATGTATTCATTTACAGATTCAATTTTCACGTGTTGCTTATAGACATAAAACATTCATGGATATCCGAATAGGAGAAAAAGAGATTAAGAATATAATCTTGGCCACAAACAGAAAATAACTTGTTACAATTTTCTACTGAATGCAGTCATTCTTATAGCAACAACAATAGAAATAACAGTAGTTAAATTTAAATAATAGGGAAATTATCCATTTATTTCAGATTGGGCTTGCCTACATGTATTCCACTGTTGACTGTGAACAAATTTTTACACAAAAAATATGTGCACGTTTCATCTTTCGATCGAAGCTTAGGGAAAATTGGGTGAACTCATTGCTTCCAAATTTGCTATTTCTTCTTGTTCCTGAGGGAAGGGGACAAAGAGGGAGACCACTCATGACTTTCCACACGTCCCAATACCCAGGGATGAGGAACCGCCACCTCATACCAACGCAGAGTCTCAGTGTGTACATATTCCAAGGGGTCTAAGTGGTTTGGATAGTTCTGAAATGCTGCCGATTTCAGCAATCTGAGGATGATATCACCCTCCCAATCTTGGCTCCATTCACCAAGATTTTTTGCTACCGTTGTTTATTAGGGGTAGTTCTCCAGTTTGTTCTGCTCTTCTGCTGCTATAACACCAAACGAGCTGCCATATTCTCCTTTGACAATAGGGCCTGTGTCCACTGCTCCACATTTTTCATTAAGCAGGACATGTTGTTACAAGTGAGTCCAAGGACCTGGGCCATGCAACCAATGCACCACCAGATGCCCCACGCTTTGGCTCATGAACCTGATACTCACCTAGGCAGGGCCCAGGACCCGGCCCAGGAGACCCAAGCCCCGCTGGATCCCCCATACATGGGGCTCATTAACCCGACACCCACCGAGAAGGTTAGCCCCAGGGTCCAGGCCAGGCAAACTGAGTCCCACCAGATCTCCCACCCTTGCGGCCTCAGAAACCTGGCTTCCACCATACAAATGGGCCCCAGGACCGAGCCAAGCTACCCCAGCCCTGTCAGATCCCCTGTCCCTGGGGCTCACACACTTGGCCCACACTGAGCCCAGGCTGGCATGTCTCACCTCACCTCAGCATCCGCTATCCACAGCCCTGAGCCAGTCTAGCCTGGGCTCAGTGTGGGAGGAACAACAAGAAGAAATAGCAAATTTGGAAGCAATGAGTTCACCCAATTTTCCCTAAGCTTCGATCCTTCCCACCCTGGTCAACCATGTAATCATTATTAAAAAATAAAATTATAAGCAGTGGGGAAAAAAAGGAAAAAATAACCATATATGCAATATCTACTCGCAAATTCTTCTTAATGCAATATTCCACAAAGGTCTACAATTGTCTAATTTGTTCATTCATTCAGCAAATATATCTAATTTACATACTTGTTTTTCGATCTTCTGGGTCACTGTGTTCTAAGGTGCACTTATTTGCCCATTTTTGAGCATTTACCATTGCCTCTCTGTTCCATTCCTAAACATCACATGGGAAAAAATGCACGACATTTAATTCCACCCACTGAGGCACATATTTAATAATCTGATTGGTAGACTATATCTTAAGGCTGTTGTAGATGCATTATCTTATTGTTGCTACTACTAAACATTTTTTATTTTGTTTTTAGTGTCAGTATGTCATTGTCCCAGTGTGTATCCACAGTAATAAAGAACCCCCACATTTGAGTCTAAGGAGTGAGAGATTTAAGACAAAACTATTTATGCAAGCTCAGCTACCGCTGCTAGAATTCCAAGTGGAACACTAGACTAAACCAGTATATATGTGAACATTTCTAATTATATGTTATTTCCAATTCAATTTGTAAACTATTTCTTTTGTGTGGGAGATACTTGGTTTTTTGGTATGTGATCTGGAAAGTTACATTTTATTTCTCTAAATGATACTGATCCTAAAGGTGGAAACAAAACGGAAGGGGGAATTTCTTGATTCCAGAGTAGGCACAAGTGAACAGAAAATTGGATGGCTTTGCATTGGATGCCTGCCCACAGCTCTGATATCTACTTCTGCCTTTCCAAACTAAGAATTTTGTAACCTTAACAAATTATTTATTTAAAAAAATACAGGGCTTTCCATTAAAAAATTCTGATTAAATAGTAAAGCAGAGATAGCATTTTGGAAACCACAAGTCATGAAGAGGTATGATTGCCAACTGCCTACTCCTTGCACAACTCGTTCCCAGCATTATCCCTCAATCACTGCCACTTACCATCTTCAGCATGTTGCTGGCAGAGGGAGAGACTGCCTTCCTTAGCTGATTGTGCTTGCTTACAATTTCCTTTTGCACTTGTGTTTGGGTGGTTAACAAAGCAGTAAAAGCTGGATCCTAGAGAAGAAATGAGATAACAATTATTTTGAACACTTCTGAAAACTATAACAATGAATAACTACAGAAAACAAATCACTTTTAAAAGTGTACACTATTTAACAAATATTTGATGTTGTGTAATTATAAAAAGCGAATAGTTTTTGAACATTGCTAGTGAAGCTGAGCAAAAGCCGTGAGTTTTGCTCAGGGAAATAGACAATGGGGAATAATTCATGGCAGAACAAGCCACCAGTGTTGGAGACACAAATGCTAATTTCTGGTTTTAAAGTAGTTCTTCATATGCTTTTTGGAAATGCAAGAGTGATGTTGTTTCAAAATCAAAAAAGATATATAATAGGGACCTTAGGAGAGACAAATTCCTTCCCGCTCATTCTATCTGTCCCTAGTTAGCATAAGGGTGGTACCTGTGATTCATTTGAGACTTCAGGAGGAACTTTGCCTTGCAAAAATTATCTGCATTTGAAGAAAGAATATTGAGAACCAGTTGAAGTGCATACCTCACATTCAATATTTAAGGAAAATCACTCTTTTTATAGTGTGGCAGATTTCATTGTCTTGGGCAAAGCTTTGCAATATTAGAAAAAACAATCTCAGAAGCAATTTGGAGAGAGAAAAACCACCTTATGATTTCATTCCCTTTAATAACAGAAATACCACTGTTAAATGGTGTTAAATTAAGTGCTGGTATGAACTGAACTTCAACTGTGATTATGCAGCAAGGTGGAGGAATCCATCATGGGGGTAGGGTTGTGTGTGTGGGGGGGAAATCCCAGTGCCTGTAGAACTGTATCACATAATACAATGTTATTAACAAATAAAAAAAAAGTGCTGGTATGAAGAATTGCCAAACATTTCCTGGAAATAAATATTACAAAATGCATATGCTTCTAATTTTTGTGCCAAAACAAATGTCTCTTTTGATTCTATTTTTATGAATTAAAAAAAATACTCTAGTATTTTAATATCTATTATTGTATCTTTGGATGCCTGGAGATTGAAGGGGGTGGTGTGTTGTTGACACAAGAGAAAAGAATAATTTTCCCATCTAGAGTTGTATCCAAATGTGAGGTTTTCCAGATCTGTACAAAAGTGTGAAGCATATGCCTAAATGGACCAGGGTCCTTACACATATCATTTGATACACTGCAGGAAGTTATTCATTTCTCCACGCCTACCGAGTTCTCTCAAGCATCTCTAAATATTGTACCTATAGATCTGGTCATATTTTGTTCCCATTATTTACTCCTTATTCAGTATTATTGTCAAATTTTATATTTCTAAAGATAGGAACCAATAACAAAAGCTAGAATACTAATATATTTGCAGCTGTTATGGTCACCTGAGTTATAAAAGGACACCATGTTGTATCAGTAGACCTAATTACTGAGTTATATTGCAAAGTGTGCTGTGACCCATAAAAAACCTGCTCAAAGCAGTTTTACTTCCAAAACCATAGAGATTCATTCTAGGAAAATCAATAAATACTGATTTCCTTCTTACCTCCTCTTGCTATGTAGATAAAATAAGATGAATCTGTTTTCTCTTTTAAACTGAATATCAGCAGGGTATAATTACAAAATAGGATTATAAGATGCAATAAGAAAAAAATGGACACATTTCTCAATATAGCTATCATAAGAGTTAAGTAATATGATTTAAATAACTACAAGAAATGACATTATTATTAAGAAAGTTCTGCAAGACACAGATGAAAATACAGTTGTTACTCAAGGTCTGGGAAGTTTCACAAATGATAATTTTGTACGATGATTTTATTTTCTTTTACTTTATTTGGAGAGAACCATTCACTGGTTCACTCTCCACATGGTTGTAATGGCCCGAGCCAAGCCAATACAAAGCTAGGAGACAGTATCTTCTTTCAGGTCTCCCATGATGGGGTAGGGGGTCCATATGTTTCTTTCCCAGGTTATAAGTAAGCAGCTTAATGGGAAGTGGAGCAGTCAGGACACGAACTGGCAGAGACTCAGCCATATGCCACCACACATGCTTTCCTACCAACAGCCCTCCCTGGACTGTGATTTTCAAAGAATGTTTTCTAGGTCCAGGAGCAAACAGACACGGGCAACTTACTTGATTAGTAACTAAATAAGTGGTTCCAAAGAGTAAGTGACATTTTACTTTTCATGTTATTTTACTTGAAAGAGTTGAGAGAGTGCGAGTCCAACTTTCACCTGCAGGTTCACTTCCCAAAAGGCAGTAACAACTAGGGCTGGGTCAGAGCTTGCTCTAAGTGCAGGCCTAAGCACTTGGGCCATGCTCTTTTGCTTTCCCAAGTATGTTGGCAAAGAACTGGATTAGGAGTAGAGCAGCCCTGGCTGGAATAGCATCCATTATGGGATGCCAACATTTCAGGAATCTGCTTTACTTGCTTCACCACAATGCCAGCCCTGAAATCTCACTTTAAGCAATGTAGTTATTGAACACAGTGGAAGATTAGGGGATGGAACAGAGAAGCTAAGGGAGTTGGCATGGGTTGTGAAAGAAAGTCTTTTAGGAAAGGAAATTGAATAGACAATAAACAGTTTGAATGACCCCTTAGATTATGAATAAATTGTCACCCAAGTGGTACTTGATGAGGCTGGAACCTCACTAGTCCTGTATGTCCAGAGTTGAGAGGGTGTGAGAACAATAACCCAAACAGCAACATCTTGATGCGTTTCTTTGCTCAAGTAAAAACACATCTAATTATTCTGACACAATTAACTATGAACATTAAGCATGATAATATTCGTAAAGAAGTTACGATAACATTACTATGTGAATATGTTGCAAATTTTCCTTGGATATCACATGGAAAAACGGATTAAACTCAAAGGAATCAGAAAAGATCTTGAAGCAGGAAGATGATCCTAAGCTTTCAATGACTAGTATGATTCAAGCTTCAAGGCAGCGCATGAAAAATTAAAAAGAACTTGGCACTATTGATTTAATAATATCTATTATTTGTGATTAGTTGAGTGGAGATTTTTAGGAGGACAAATTTATGTGTTTATCCCCGGAAAATGTGCATAAGATTTTGAAAAAATCATTCTTTAAAGATGTAATTAAAGATCTTAGAATGCAATTATTCTGCATTATTCAGTGGGACCTAACAGCAGAGAGGAACATCTGTATAAGGGATACACAGAAAGGAGGCAATGTGAAGATGGAGGTAGAGTGACACAGCACAAGTGTATCAATGTCAGGGACTGGCAGATAAGGCAAGGGAAAAAATTGGGCCAGGATCCTGGATGGGGCATTATAGCTTAAACACACCTTGATTCAGATTAGTGGCCTCCAAAACTATGAAAGAGTACATTTTTGTTGTTTTAAGCTCTAGGCTTATAATGTAGTGTCACAATAGCACTAACAATCAAGTATGTTTCTAAACTGAATTTTCAAAGTTCATCAATATTGAAAATGGCTGCTGTTCTCTAAATCTTTGAAATGCAATCACTAACACTTGTGCTTCATTTCTTCTTATTTAAGCCTCATTTTATGTGTTCAGTCACCACTGAACCACCAATGGAAATGTGGACCACACCAGAAACTTGTGCCACTTTGACACTTTTGGAGGAGCTTGTTCTCCACACGGTTACAGAGAGCTCAGCTCTGAGAAGATCTCCTGTTCCAACCTTACCTTGCCTTCAGTGGGTAAAGTTGGAAGCAGCAGAGTAACCAGGAGGAATAGAGCCATTGGGAACAAAGCCATTGCTGGAAAGCAAGCAAAAGCAGATAAAGTCTTGCATTAGATAAGAAAGTGCATGGATTTCTAAGAGGGAGGGAAATTAATGATTTTTATCTTGGTTATCCAAAAGAATTGGGATACTGAAATTTGCTGTAAACAAACCAAGATAATAACTGACCGAGTGCCAATACAATAATAGTGGAGCCAATCCTGTCTTTACTAAGGGCAGCGGTAAGCCAACTGAATAACCTGACTAATGCCTTTGACCTGCAATTGTAAAGATAAAGTCTTGCTGCCTTTAAAAATTTATTTTTATTTTTTAAACAGATTTAGAGAAGGAGAGATAGATAGGAAGATCTTCCATTTACTCATTCACTCCCCAAGTGACTGCAATGGCTGGAGCTAAGTCGATCCAAAGTCAGGAACCAGGAGCTTCTTCTAGGTCTCCCACGCAGGTGCAGGCTCCCAAGGCTTTGGGTAATCCTCTATTGCTTTCCCAGGTCACAATCAGGGAGCTGGAAGGGAAGTCAAGCTGCCAGGGCACAAACTGGTGCCCATATGTGATCCTGGGTGTGTAAGGTGAGGATTGTAGCCACTAGGCTACTGCGCCAGGCCCTTATTTTTATTTTAAATGTAAAATTAGAGAGAGAGCAGAAGAGATAAAATGGGAGAAATATTCCACTCCCTAAATGGCTTCCCTCCCTAAATAGCCACAGTAGCCAGGGCCAAGTCAGGAGCTTTCCCTGTGTCTTTCACTTGGCTGCAAGGACCCAAGGACTTGAGCAATTTTCTGCTACCTTCCTAGGACTTAAACAGGAAGCAGGATTGGAAGCAGACTGTCCAGGATCTGAACCGGTGCCAATATGGCATGCTGGCACTGCAGGAGGAGACAGGCTATTACACTCTGGCACCCACCACACACACCTTCTTTCTGTAATTATGTTACCCTTATCTTAAAAAAGGAAAAAAAAAATATATATATACATATACCTCCAAGCTTCTTTCATAGTCATTTATGATATTAACATTCATTATAATTATGCATCTCTATGTTTCCAAAGCATTTACATTCAGTATGTACTATGCGGTTTACTATTCTCATAAACAGTATTACTATTTGTCCCTTTTGTGTGTTTCAGAATCTATCAAATATTTCAAGGTTCTGATCACACAAACATATATGTATAATCACTTTATTATTTATCCTTTAGGGAGATGCTTGTTTATTTTATTGCTTGTAATTGCGTGTATTCTCAAATGTCCTATGGGCTACTGGATGCATATATAATTAATATATTAAAAGTCTAGATTGATCAAGGTTTTTCAGTTTACGATTTGATAAAAAGGTAATAGTCTCACTGCTTTTGGAAAAGGCACAGCGTTTTCCATCCTGTCCTTTCTCAATGTTCTGGAAAGCCGTAGACACTTCCAGTGAAGCAGCACCATCACTTCCTTTAGGAAGCACTCAGTTTCCTGCCATTCTTCATATACACTGCTTAGTGTGTAAATTAAAGTCAGTGTTTGTTTCCTGGGTGTGAAATTGCACTCTCAAATTCTTGGAGTTACAGGAAATCTTTAAACAATCATTTATGGCACGTATCAGGCTTTAGTAACTTATAAATAGTGGACAATTGATCCTCAATGTTATCACAATCAAAGGAAGAATAAAAAAAAACACTTGTTAATGGTTTATGGTAAAATTTCAAGGGTCACTGCATTTTCCTTCTTATTGGTTAATGATCCTAATATTTTGCAGATGAGGAAATTAAGGCTTAGATCAGTCAACTCTTTTCCAATGGTAACTTGCTAGGCAACTGCCCAAATCAGCCTTGATCCAATTATGATTGCAAACTCGATGGACATAGTTTCAATGAAGAAAAGGCAATCGCTGAATCATTGTCACAGCACTATGGACTTCTCTCCCTACTTTAATAAAGCAAATACTTTGAACGTGAAATTTTCTAGTTCCTTTTCTTTTTTTAAAAAGACTTATTTTTATTATTATTTTTTTTTTTATTGGAAAGGCGGATATACAGAGAGGAGAGACAGAGAGGAAGATCTTCCGTCCGATGATTCACTCCCCAAGTGAGCGCAACGGGCCGATACTATGCTGATCCGAAGCCAGGAGCCTCTTCCGGGTCTCCCACGCGGGTGCAGGGTCCCAAAGCTTTGGGCTGTCCTCGACTGCTTTCCCGGGCCACAGGCAGGGAGCTGGATGGGAAGCGGGGCTGCAGGGATAGAACCGGCGCCCATATGGGATCCCGGGCGTGCAAGGCGAGGACCCCAACCCCTTGCACCACCGCGCCGGGCCCATCTCTAGTTCCTTTTCAGTGTCAACTGCTCTCAGTGTATTTGCCACTACATTTACAAGAACTACTTCAGTATCACCCCCTCTCCAAATTCATGCAGTACTATATAATCATATATATATATAAGTGAAATAATATGAAAAAATATATAAAATATTTTAATTTTCGGTTTAAGCTAATTTTAGTATAATTGTTTCAAAGTCACAAACTTAGAAATTAAGGATAATACCTATTTTGAGAATGAATATAAAAATTCAACTGATAATATATCTTTGTCTAACAGTGCTATAGTTTTCTTTTTAAAAATTTTATTGTGATCAAACTCAATAAAATGTATCAAAGTTTCATAAACAATAGTTATATTTATTAAATACATTATTTTATTTACTAAAAAAATGGCATAATAAAATATTCTTAAAATAAATGAGTTACTACTCACTGTTGGTTCTGAGGGCAGAATGAAATATCTGCTTTAACTGTTGAAAGGCTACTGGAAAGAGTTTACAAGAGAACTTGTATTGCATCCATTTGTGTTCCAGTAAGTTCTAATTGTGCAAGTAAACCTAATTCAAAAAGATCTTGGGCTGGATGAAGACCTGGGAGGGAACAGAGAGAGGTTGGACAATGTGCATCAAAACACTGATAGGAGTATGTTCCTGTGTTTCATCGTACAGTGGGGTGACCTATTATAGATTTTATGAACAACTAGATGCCTTCAAACATGAAGCAATGTCAAGGAGACAGAAATGTTAATTTTTACGATTGTTTTAATACATCCAGCATACATTCACAGAACTATCACAATGAACCACACAAATATGTACAATTATTAAAGATCTTAGAAAAGTGTAAAGAGATAAAAATGTTTATTGGCATGATGTGATCATCAAACATTGAATATATGTATATTGATTTATCATATTATGCATCACAGGTATGTGCAATATAAATCATAAAATAGGAATTTGTTCTGAAATGGTATTTTTTCAAATCAATGGCCTCAACTTTTATTGCCTTTTGGTGGATTACGTTGTGACATCATTTGGTTTCCACAAAGCTTCAACATGACTAAATAACCCACGGCCTCACTTGCTTTTCTAACTCAGCTCTCCTCTTTTCAGGGGCAGTGAATGTGGATGCTGCTTTTTCAGCCTAACACTTCTAAACTCACCACTCCAGACAGGTGTGTTCTTAAGAGCCCTGCCTCCTAGAGGAACCCTTTTGGCACTGCTTTCTCTGACTTTTAATTCCCAGTTACCATTCACTTACAGCTTACTGTAGCTGAGAAGTCCGACTTTCTTGAAACCATTAGGTCTAAGAAATGATCGCTGAGCTTCTATTTTCTCTTTTGTAAAATGTGAACTATCATGTATCGTCAATTTTGAAAACTGAAAATCATAACGTGATACACTTAGTAAATCAAGACTCATACATAATATGGAATATCTGTCAGTGTGCAGGGTTCTCAAGCTCTTTCCATGAATGAAACTTGATTGAGCAACTAATTTCAGAAGTGTTTATAACTCTTCTTTTTCCTTCTTGATGCCTTAGAGTACTAAAATTTAAACAGAAATTTTAATGTCCAAAGAATGGTTCTGGCTTTATTCAGGAAAATTATTCAACAGCTGGGCTGCCTGTATCCTCATTCGTTTCCTGAAATGTTTACATAGACATGACCCTGAAATTTCGTACATCTCAGTCACTCAGTGGGTTTGCATTAGGGGGCCTGTAACTCCAGATCTCAGTAAGCCACGATGCCGCACACCCTGCTACCCGTTCAGATACTCATCCAACATACAGCCATCCTTGCTGCGCTCATGAAACAATGACACAACCAGTGAGACCATGTTAAACCATTACTTTCTATGGCTGCATTTGATTCCTTTAAATCTACATTGGGAGATACTGAAAAATTAGTTACTATTTTTTCCCTTACCACTTAGCAACGGGAAAGTACTGTACCCTTTATGGCAGATGTTCTAAAGCCAGGATGCATAGTTCTCTTAGGATGCTTGTAGGTACAGCATGGTGCACAGTTTCATAGTGCTAAAAATAGAAAGTGGACAAAAGAAGAATATCTTTACAGTGTCTGTATTCTCTGTCATAAGCTTAAAAACTTGACTCTAGTGCTCACTATGCCTTTCCAATCTGTTAGTAAAAGTCAAGTCACCACTAACACCATAATTTCCTCTTGAGATCAGATTGTTTCAATTTTTCCCTTCAAACACTAATCCAAAAGCAGATGTCTTAAAATATTTCAATGAATTGTTTATTGACTAACTTCCCTTTAAAGACCACAGCACACTTTCAATATTCCTAACCATTTAAGTAGTACCTTAATCCACAGGTCCTTTAAAGGGTCAATTCTGTAAAAATCTTCCACAATATAAACATTAATGTCATGGATTTGGCACCTACATTTTTAACTTCATGTTTTGTTTTTAAATAGAACACAATGAATAACAAAAGGCACAAAGGTCAATGGCTTCAATTCCAAGATGCAGGTACACCTTTTAATAAGAGCAACTTTAAAATAAGAAGCTTACGCTCTTATTCTGATACCAATGCAAGAGCAGATTTAGAGAAACTTCAGCTTTCTGCTAGGAATCAGTAGGTCTCCAGCACCTAGAATGCTTAAGGGTTAAAAATAGGCAAGCAGTTTCCTTAGGTTAAACAAAGAAGCACGTTGAAGCGCCCCTTGGCTGTTAAGTACCAAGCAACAAGTCCCAGCTGCTGGCTTGCCTCTGGAGACTGCGCACAGGCCTCGATGAGGACCAGACACGCCTCACTGCACGCCTAGTCCTCTCCCCGTCACCTCCACCTCCCCTACCCTAGTGGTTTCCGACTTCCCAGGCTGCTCTGTTTACCCCGGCTGCTGAGCACAGATCTTCTTGGCTTGGGGCTTTGGACACGCTGCTTCAGTACCCCTGTGGCAACGTAAGCGTTCTCATTGTGCCACGTCATGGTGACGTCATAGGGCTTTATGTCCTAAGCGTCATCCCATTCAGTGGTTTCCTCCATTGCTTCGTTATTCACCTCTAGGGTGGCGTCGAAAAAAAAAATTCTGTATAAAAAGCAGTTTGTGGGCCTGGTGGTTAAAGTCCTCGCCTTGGATATGCCGGGATCCTACATAGGTGCTGGTTCGTGTCCTGGCTGCTCCACAGCATTTCAAACCTGGGAAAGTGCGTGCATGCTTCAGCTTGAGTACAATGACAGTATGTACAGCAGGGCACTGTTGCACAGATAAAGCTGACATCTTGAGAGTTCATTCACAAACAGTTCACGTTTTCCATAGTCTCTCCCTTGGCAATACTTTTGTGACACCTTTCTTGAATTTTCTGAATACAGGTGGGAGATTTTAAGCAAGTATTTATTAGTGAATAAATACTGACCTGGCCTAGAATCTTAGGAAACAGATAGAAGAACACCACAGGTCGTTCTTGTAGGACTTATAGCAGTCTGATATAAAAAAGCAAACAGTATCACCAGAGAGTGTTGTTTAATGCTGTGTAGATGGCACAGAATTCACTTACAACAATGAGGAGTTGTGTGAATTGATATGTTCCCAGTTAAAAACTATACGATAAATTGACATTTGAAATGTCTTTTGAGGGCAAAAAAGAGATATTTAATTGGAAGAGGTGAAGCAGATAAATCTAGTTCAAAAGGAATATTTAAGTTAAGATTATAAACAGATAAAAATGGAGAATCTCGAAGGACATCCGCTTCTCAGTGTAATAGGAATTTCATTCATGCTTTGCAGAGTTTGGAAAAACATATTATCAATTTTTTTTCTTTTTTGTTTTCAGTTTTATTTTACATGGAAAGTCAGTTACACAGAGAGAGGGAGAGAGAGAAGAGATCATCCATCTGTTCGTTCACTCTTCAAATGCCAGCAATGGCCAGAGCTGAGCCAGTTGGAAGCTGGGAGTCAGGATCTTCTTCCAGGTTTCCCACATGGGTGCAGGAGTCCAACAATGTGAGCCATCCTCTGCTGCCTCCCAGGCCACAAGCAAGGAGCTAGAAAGGGGAGTGGAGCATCTGGAACACAAACCAATGCCCACGGTGCCGGCAGGGGGAGGATTAACCTGACACACTTACCTGCCAGCCCCCCAGTTTTTTTTTTTCATGAAAAGTCACCTCAAAGTACTGTACAAAGTGATTTGCAGTCCTGATAAATTTGCTTTAGGAAAAACTAGTAACTGTTGATGGTTTTCAAAATCTTCAAACGAAGAGAGAAACAGTGAAAGGATGACATATGAACAGAGAATTCTAAATTGTTGAGGATGTGGGCCTGTCGCGGTGACGTAGCGGCTAAAGTACTCGCCTTGAACGTGCTGGGAACCCATATGGGCGCCTGTTCTAATCCCGGCAGCCTGGCTTCCCATCCAGCTCCCTGATTGTGGCCTGGGGAAAGCACATGAGGTCGGCCCAAAGCCTTGGGTTCCTGCAACAGTCTGGGAAACCTGGAGGAAGTTCCTGGCTCCTGGTTTCTGATTGGCACAGCACCAGCTGTTGTGGCCAATTGTGATCAATTGTAGAAGACATGTAATATTTTCATTGAAAAGGCAAGAGCAAAAGGCTAAAAAGACCTCCTAGATGAAAAAGACAGACGATCTTTTCTATCTCTCTTCCTCTCTGTGTATCTGACTTTGCAATAAAAACAATACATCTTCATTTAAAAAAAAATTGAGGATGCAATGGGTTTCCTATGACAAACAAATCCAGAATGTCGTAAGTCTTGTAGGTTTTGACTCCACATGTCCTGAAGAATACAGGGAAAACTCATCTTAATATCAGAGGAAAACAGTGCAGATAATTAGGAGCACTAATAAATTCAGAAGTCAGCAACACCATGATATTAAAGGAGAAGTGCTAAGACTGGAGTTTGGAGGTCTGGTTCAAATCTGCTTTCACTAATGAATCAGGAGACTGAAGAGAAATAGATTTTTCTTTTCAAGTATTTATGTAGTTGTTTCCTCCATCTTTATCTGAAAGGCAGGATGAAGAGGGAGAAAGAGAGAGGAGAAATCTTCCATTTGCCGTTTCACTCACCAGATGTCTACAAAAGCAGGACCACAATGAAGAAACCTGAAGAGATTGAGGTTTCTTACACAGGTGGCAGGGATCTGAATCGGTTTTGGCATCACATGAACAGGCTGGAAGGGAGAATGGAGCAGGCACCCAAACTCATACACTCTGACAAGTGGTGGAGATTTCCTAAGCGACACCGTAACTGCTGTGCGGTAAACTAGCAACACCTACGGAGGTTACTGCTTTAAGTCTGGAATAACAGATCTGTGTTGGATTATCATTGATATTCATTGTTGGTTGCTGCACACACACAAAAAGCAAAGTTTGTTTACGTATTGGCTGCATTGAAAAGCAAAATGCAGCACAGCTGTATCTATTCTAACAAAAATTTCAGTCTCAAAATTGTATGTGTGTGTTTTTCTTTATAGGAGAATGTTATATCTCATTCCTATAATAGATGCAGCAATCCCAAACAACCAATCATGGGAATCTCTAAACCTAGTACCCAGGTTTAATATGAAAATTTAATGCAGTTTATTTTTAATTGTAGAAAACATGTAATATTTTCATTGAAAAAGCAAGAGCAAAAGGCTAAAAAGACCTCCCAGATGAAAAATATTGCATGGCATTTTCAATAAAACATAAGAGAATAATAAATTATCGTAAATAATAAGGCAGATCAAAATGTGTGAAATTTATGTAACCAAGTTAAAGTTAGAAATGTTGAATGTTGGTAAAAGTTATATGGAGAATATACCACTTGAAGTTCAACATATTTGGAGGGTCTGCATTGTGGTGCAACGGTTAAGTCCCAGCCTGTGACACTGGCATGCCACATAAGCTCTGGTTTGAATTTTGGCCATTCTGGTTCATATCCAGTTCGCAGCCGCTGTGCCTGGGGAATCAGCCAAAGATTCTCTGAGTACTTGGGCAATTGCCATCACATTGCAAACTTGGGTTGTGTCCTAAGTTCCTAGATTTGGGCTGGTCCAGCCCCTGCCATTGCAGCCGTCCAGAAAATGAACCATCTCACACTCCCTTTCAACACACTTTGATGACTTGCCACCTTACATAGAATAATGCACCAATTCATTTAAAAGTGCTTTCTTAAAAAAATGTTTATACATATAAAAATTGTATATAACTAAAGGTTTATATATATAATGTTATATATATATAAAGTGTATTTCATGTGTCTAACACATGAACTTGTCCTAGAGGCCACTATGTAACCAGGTCCTGTCTGTTACTCTTTTTTTTTAGCATTTTCTTTGCTTTCCTCACTCCAACTCAGCTCTTCAGCAATTCTTTCTTTTCTTAAATGTTATCTTTCTCAATAAGCATGTATTCAGTAATCTGTCTTCTCCATCAAATAATCTGAGTTTTCTTTCATTTTTGTTATGCTAATGGTTCAATATCATTTTTCTCCCTCTAAGCATATCTTTATTGCATTTTTTTCTATAGCTCATTTTAGTTCCTGAAATGTATGATTTTCTGCTACAAAATAATTTATTGATGAAGTAATTATCCTCTTTTCTTCTTAATTAGAGCATAGACTCCAGTTATCTTTAACAAATATTTCTTGCATTCAGGAAACAAAGATGCATTATTGTGATGATTAAATTGAAACGAGTTACATATCATTGCAAAAGAAAATAAGGACATTTTCTTTAGTTATCTACTCAGACAAATCTGTTGGATGAAATTTTTATTATGGAGTAGTAATTCTAGTAAGTAATGAGGACTCGTCCAAACAGACCTACAAGCAGACACAATTGCCCCAGGGAGACCTGAAGACTTTCAACAAATGGAATGAGATCGTTGTGCTGGATCACGGGAGAGAGAAAGCAATTGAAGTTGGAGGAAAAGTGTAAAACAATTCGTTCACTTTAAAAAGTTATTTTTATTGTTTTCCATGGTATAATTTTGTAGTTATGGGAATTTTCCTTTTCCTTCCCCTTTCTACCTAGCCATTTTCCCTTCCCGCCATTTCCCACCATATTATTACAGTGATATAACTCTTCAGTAATAGTTACAAATTTAACATTCTGCTATTTGGGTGCATTGTGGATTTATAGGTATAGAAAAATGTAGAAAATCTAGTATCATTTTCAAAATATAATTAACAGTTTTATTGGAAGTCCTTTAATGATGAAGTAGAGATGCCTACTATAATGTTTTTTCACATCTCGGTCAGATTGCTTGGTTATGAATATGTGGATTCTCCTAAGTACTTGAGAATGTCATTGAAATTTATGACAAAAAGACAATAAAACTGATATAAGATAGCATGTGTAAGCTCCATTGGTGGTCTTGGTTTCCCTGATTTCCTTGCACAAATCTGTATGTATTCTTGGGCTCCTCAATAGAGTTTGACACTGGATAATCAAAAACAATCCATATTTGATAATGCAATTATTGATATTCCTTGAAAGACTATGAAAATGGCAAAATCATTTGCTAGGCAACTGATACAGAATGTGAGGGTTAGCAGGAACAAATCTGGATAATCAATAACTAGATATATAATCCAGAGAAAAATATGTGAATTTTGGGAGACAAGAAAATTAAATTTTTAATGCATTTTTGGTCTTTGCAAAACAAAGAAACCAAAGCAAAACCAAAAATCTACAAAGCCAGGCACAATAGATTAGTAACAAAATCTTCATCTTGCAAGTGCGGGGATCTCATATGGGCACCAGTTCATATCCTAGCTGTCCTACTTCTGCTTGGGAAAGCAGTACAGGATGGCCCAAAACCTTGGAACCCTGCACCCTTGTGAGAGACCTGGAAAAAGCTCCTGTCTCCTGGCTTTGGCTCAACTCAGCTCTGGCTATTGCATTCACTTGGAGAGTGAATCAGTGGATGGAAGCTCTCCCTTTCTATCTCTCCTCTTCTCTGTGTATCTGCCTTGCCAATAAAAATA